GCTGCTTACTGACTTGCTTCTTATGGCTCGCTCGTTCTGCTTTCTGACAGAACCCAGGGCCACCAGCCCACTGTGAACTAGGCCCTCCAACATCAATCACTAATTAAGAAATCCTGTACAGGCTTGCAGCCCAATCTTGTGGAGGCATTTCTTAATTGAGGCTCCCTCCTCTCGGGTGACTACAACTTGTATCAAGTTGACATAAAGCTATCCAGAACAGGCGGCTCACAACTGGTTGTAACTCCAGTTCTAGCTCCAGGGACCTGAAACCTCCAGCCTTCAAAAGCATGCACTCCATATCCACAAAACCACACAATACCCAAATTTAAAAATAAGTATTTTAAGTGACCGTTCTTTGAGCACTGTTGTGTGCAGACTCTCTTATTTGTCAATATTTTCAATGGAACTTTGTCCCTGAAATTTTTTAAGATTTATTTTAATTTTATTATCTGTGCTATCGCTTTGACTATGTTTATGTCTGTGCAATACAGGGCCCACAAAGCCAGAATAGGGTATTGTATACTCTACAGCTGCAGTTACAGATGGTTGTTATCCACCATGTGGGTGCTGGGAAATGAACCTGAATCCTCTGCGAGAGCAACATGTGATCTTAATTGCTGATCCACCTCTCCAGCCCCACTGAACTGTTTTAAATGATGTCCAAACATATATTGAAAGTGTGTGGGGCTGAAGCAATGGCTCAAAGGTTAAGAGCACTGACTGCTCTTCCAGAGGTCCTGATTTCAATTCCCAGCAACCAGATGGCTCACAACCATCTGTAATTCGATCTGGTTCCCTCTTCTGGCATGCAGACAGAACACTGTATATATAATAAATAAATAAATTTTTTAAAAAAAGAAGAAGAAGAAAGAAAGAAAGTGTGCATGTTGCCGGGTGGTGGTGGTTCATGCCTTTAATCCCAGCACCTGGGAAGAAAAGATGGCAGATCTCTTGTGAGTTCAAGGCTTGGTCTACAAGAGCTAGTTCCAGGTCAGCTTCAAAGCTACAGAGAAAGCTTATCTCAAAAAACAAACAAAAAAAAGTATGCATGCAAACCAAGACTGACATGTAATTATGCATCTTCCAAATGCTACTTTTTAAATGTTAAAGATTCACTTCCAGGCCTTTCAACCACAAGGACCTGAGTTCAATCCTCAGAAAGCACGTAGAAGAAATTCAGGTGTGGTAGTAGATGTTTGGAGTCCCAGCACTGGGAAGGCAGAGTGAGACGGAGCTCAGTAACCAGCCAGCCTGTCCTACTTGGTAAAGTTCACACATACACACATGTGCACTCAAGCACACACATGAACACATGCACGAAGATCACTTCCAAAACTTAAGAATTTTTTAATTAAAAAAAAGTTTTTGAGAATTTCATACATTATTCACAACATTTCCACCTATCCTTTTGCCAGCTCCAACTCCTTCCATGTTAACCTCTCCTCTAATTACTGACCTCCTCCTTAGTATTGTTATATGCGTGCATGCGTGTGTGCGTGCAGGCATGTGTAGTTCATTTAATGTTGTACATGGCCGTGAGGCAGTCCACTTGGGTTGAATAGCCTGTCAAGGGGCTTGTCCCCAAGGAAACCAGAGTCCCCTATTTCAGCAACCGTTAATTGCCTATGACTCTTATAAGGATGGAGTCTATCAAATTTTTATAATTTTTATATTACTCTTCAATGTGTGTGTGTGCGCGCACGCGTGCTTGCATGCACGCCATGGCACACATACAGAGGTCAGAAGACAATTCCTGGGATTATTTCCCTCTTTCTACCATGTGGATCCTGAGGATTGAACACAGGTTGTTGGGCTTAGTGGTAAACACTTTTACCTGCTGAACCGTCTTGCCAGCTCAAAAGGAAGGTTTTTATAAAGATAAAAGATATGCATTTACCATTTCTTACTTTAGAAAAAATATCCGTCCTCCCTGCCCTAACTCAGTTATCTAAAGCAGGTGACTCGGTTGGCAGTCTACTTTATTCCCTAGTCATCCTCCCTCCTGGTAAAAGCAGAAAGATCTATCATTCCATCTATTCGCAAGGATAAACACTGAAAGCACCTGCCGTCCTCCATTGCTCACTGTCTCCACAGACCAGGACTACTGAAGCAGAGTTAGCATGAGCTGAAACCAGAAAGAACTCGTTAGGGACTTTTATCCTCAAGGGCATCTGCCCACCCCTCAGAAATGTCATCACCAGGGAGAAGGGCAAGGGGCTAAAACTGCTTGAGACCTTAACTCCCAAGTCCCTCCAGAGTCATAGATTGGATTGGTTTTCAAGGAAAAAGAGGAACTGTGGGAGAATTCTCACCTGGGCAACACTGTTAGTGTAACAGATCATTATGGAGAAATGCTAAATGTGAGCAGACAGTTGGAAAGCGGGAAAGAACGAGTTAAAGCCTGGGGACAGACTTAGCATGTTTGCAAAGAGCTGTTGCCATTGTGCATCTGAGGATGGTCTTCAAAAAGAGGAAACAGACTAAATACTCTGTTCTCATGAGTGCAATTTAATAGTTATTACTAAATTAGAAGTGGATGGCAAACTGCAGAAAAAGACAAACTTTTCATAAACCTGCCCAGAGACGGAGCCTCCTTCCAGAAATACACGTGGCATTTATTTGAAACAGCGTGTTTGAGGATTTCTAGAACTGTCTACTTGTGTTTTGATACTGTAACTACCTCCAAATCCAAAGGGATCCTTGATGGGCATAATTTGACAAACAGTAAAAATAAATAAAATAATATCAGCACATTCCTTGTGTTTTAAAAAATCTAGTAATTTAGGCTGGAGAGATGGCTCAGAAGAGCACTGGCTGCTCTTTCCGAGGTCCTAAATTCAATTCCCAGCAACCACATGGTGACTCAGATCAAATGTAGCACTTGCACAATTCAAAATTTAATCTCAATGGCAATATCAATCTATACTTAACAATATTAATATATGAGAATACCTACCAATATTTCAAGAGCTGTACACAACAAATAAATAGCCTTAAAAAATCTAGTAACTATACACATATACTGATGAAGTCAGACATTTCCCCCTAAAAATTCTATTAGAAATTATTAGAATTCATTCAGACCCTGCAGGATTCACAAGTAGAACCTATACTCATCAATCCCTTTCACTGAAGAAATTGAATTTTGCCAAAAATGCGCAAGCGTATAGAGAAATGACCTCATTTTTCAGTCTGAATACAGTGATGTGGATATATTTCCAGAGTGCGACTTCAATATTGGATGTTAGTTCCAAGTACAGGTTCATAAGGCCAGCAAAGAGGGAGGTGAAGCCACCCTGTGAAGAGTGAAGTCTTAAGTAAGGACACTTTCTTCAGTTGAATCACGTGCGCAAACTGTAGCTTTCTGCTCTCTGGCCAGCCAGTGCAGCCACAGCATCTTTATTGTTAGAACTCCCAGATTGTGATACTGTCACAAAGCTGTTGCTAGGCAACAAATGTGGTTACCAGGTCTCAGCGAATAGCTGAAGGGGGAAGGCAAAGTGTTGCACCATTGTAGAGTAACCATAGCAATGACCTACTATTACAGACTAAAGAATTATCATTAACAATGTTAAAGTATCAGAGGCCCTGAATTCGGAGACTTCTGAGCAGTATCTGCATAATTAAGTGATTGAGGACGAGATTCTAACTGTTTCAAAGCTAACCACTCATAATTTCTATAGAAGGGGAGTATTTATAATTATTTTTAATTAAAAATCTATTATGAAGTTATTGAATGAATTATTTATCCTATCACAAATAGTTTTTTTTAACGTCTGGGTTATTCGTATATTTCCATGCATACATGTTATTTGCTGTTTTTGTCAAACTAAAGGTTTCATTTGATTCAAAAAATAGTGTATAATGTACAACCCAAGTCAAAGACAGAAGCTGTAGTAAAATAATCTGGTAAATTGAAAATCTACAGCTCCTCTGAACACCCCGACTGAATAGGAGACAAAAATGCTTTCAGTGGTTCCGCTTTGAAACACTTTTTTGTCTGGCTTTTCTAGCTCCTTCCTCCTAAATTCTGTAAAGCGTAAAGCGTGTGGCCCGCCTAGGATACTTTCAAGGGCCCTGGTCTTTTTTTGAATCTGTCCTTGCATTAAGTATCTACAGTGATTTGGTCCTGGTGACCTCGCTGAAGCAGTCGTGTCGAGCATCAGAGACTGTGACGAGCCTGAAAAAGAACGATTTCCCCCTCTCACCCCCCACCCCCCTACACACACTGAGCCTGGGAGCCAAACCTCCGGGGCACTCTGGGGTGGGTGTGGTAGACTCGGGATCCTGCACGCCGGGGAAACCAATCCCAGGCCTGGGGAAGTGGGTGGTTTGTAGGCGGGAGAGGGAGTGGCCCTCCCGCCGAGCTACTGGATTGGCCCGGAGTGCCGGAGGCCGGGGCGCTCCTGGCTGCTCCCCCAGGGGCCCCGCAGGCTAGT